TGAAGGCTTCATGAGGTCTACGATGAACACGACGCCGAGCATCATTCACATAGAGGCAGAAATGAGATTCATCTGACCAGATAACACATTTTCGGTTATGAACAGTCTTCGACCACTGTAATCAGGCAGCTTTGTGAGCAGAAGTAAGCAAAGGCCTGTTGCGTGCCACTCTGCTCCATATGTTCATGGTACACAGTTCCCTGCAGAGTGTTCTTTCAGAAATTGGTTATGAAGAACCTGCGTTTACTTCTAGAAGCAATTCTTGCTTGGAAGTGATTTTTATTCACAAGCCGTGAAACACACCATCGTTTCTTGGCCGTCAGTTTTGTCTTTCAGCGACAATTCTAAAGAGAATTTCCAGTAGACTGGGATTTTTGCCACTGCTGGTAGACCTGTATGACCATACGCTTCAATACACCTGCAAATTCAGCTACTTCCTTCACACTATGGCCTTTGGCATGCCCAAATGCAATCACTCCTTTTTGCCAATCATTTACATCTGCTTTGCGACCCATTTTCCATAAATTGAACAAGACATTCACTGCACTGAACCACCTCTTTTCAATCCTTGAAACCCATTGAAGTATATTTAAAAGGAACATTTTTATAGAAGAAGGTAAAAACACTCTTCCAGCATGAGTGGGGTCTGGAGCTCTCTGTGTGCTCTGTTTTTGCAGGGGTAGGAATGTTTAAATTAAGGGGCCCCCTGGTCCAAAGCCCCATAGGAAGTAGGCCTCTCACTTTCTCCCTCCTTCTCTTAGTTCCAAATAGATGAGATCATTTTAAAAAGGACCATATGTTCTGTCTTCTGTTTCAACAACAAGTCCACTATATAAGCAGCTGGAATATTCTGTTCGAGAGGGGACATTTAGAATTGGCACGGATCCTCTCTCAGGTACTTTATAGTGCTTGATATGATACTGTTTTACTTTGTAATAAACATTTTACTAGCAACACAGCGTCAGAGGAGTTGTCCTTCACATCATCTTCACATCATCGCTACTTAATAAACAACACCATCACACACCCTGCAGGAATTTATAGCCCTATCATCCTCGTACAACGCTATCTGCCACCTGATGTTACTACCACCGCAAGGTGACTCATTTTTTGTCCAGGGAGCTTAGGTGCGAGTATTACTGTACTTGGCCAATATGTCATATAAAGAGATGATAAAAAAACATTTTCAAAATACTGACAAATCTACTTAAAGTTTGACTACTGAAGTTGTTGCGGCAAGATCTAAAAATCTCCTGGTTTTTGATAGAGTCCATGATGTTATTCACTGAAGTAATCCATTGGATTTAATTGATTCAAACAAGTACATCATTTTTAGTCAATTAAAATAGATTACATCACAATTGTTGCCAAAATAAACAAACTAAAAGACTGTCTTGATGTAATACATTTCGTTCATGTGGCAATGATCTGCATATTCAATATCACCATTTAATGACCAGGCCTTTCGAAAGAAAACAGCCCCAAAACATCACACCATCATACTTCACCTTTGGTATTAAGTTCCTACTTGAATGCTTCTTCTGTTTTTGTTATCTGACCATAGAAACTGATTCCAGTGACGTTTAGTGAAGTCCAGGCACTCATGTTTGTGGTTTGATGACGGCAATGGCTTTGTTCTGGAAATTCCTCCAAATAGTTTGTTAGCACAGAGATGGTATCCAATTGTAACTTTGGAAACTTGTCACTTTGGAACCTCCCATGTGAAATTCTTGGAGAAATTTTGCTCTTGAGCCATCCTCCTCACGGTGAGTTGGAGCAAAATACACTTACAGTTGTATGCAAAAGTTTGAGCACCCTGGTCATATGACATTTTGTTGAATTTCTAAGTGAAAACTATAGAGGACACACTTCTGCACAGTTTAATGGACAATTATTGTTTATCTGAATTTAAATCTACACTTTGTAAGTTTTGGAGATTTGGAGACCTCTCAGGTAGAAATGTTTAAATGCATGCAATGTGCAGAAGAACATTTTGTAACGTGGGTTGTGCTTCGGGACCTTTGCCCGAGAGGATGAATCTGATAACTGTGAGTGTGTTAAAAGAGAATTTAAAGCAGGGCTCCCGAGTGGCGCAACCGTCTAAGTGTTGGCCCTATCATCAGGAGATCGCGAGTTCAATCCCTGGTGATGCTACAGCCATCCGTAGCCGGGAGTCCGAGAGAGCACAATTGGCCTCGCTCTCTCTGGGTGGGTAGGATGGCCCCTCCCTCTCCCCCCATCACTCAGCGCGATGCTAGTCAGCGCAGGCGTCTGTTAGCTGACGTAACAGATCTGGCGGTTGGCGCTTTCCTCCGAGCGCGTTCGGCTGTCCAGTGACGTTGCGTGAGCGGCAGCTCGAAAAGAAGCGGTGGTTGGTTTCACAGGTCTCGGAGGAAGCCTGTGTTAGCCTTCACCCTCCTAGCGTTGATAGCATCGTGTGATTGGGGGAGTCCTAACTAGCGGGTGGAATTGGAAACGACAAAATTGGGGAGATAATTGGGTAAAAATCAAAAAAACAAAAAAAAAGAAAATTAAGTAGAACTCAGTCAAAACTAGGTCAAGGAGGTCTCTACTAAGGATGTGAATTATCTTCGTTTTTATCCATTCTTTTCATCACATTTTCATCAGTATAATAAAGCAATAAGCCATAAGAGGTGTTACTGCAATTTTATCATGGGAAGGGTGTTCTTAGGCATGACGCGAAGGCAGTGCATTAGTGTAATAAAATCACAGTAACTCACGGCCTCAAGTGGCTTACCGCTTTCATAAAATGGCTGCCAACGTAATTTTTTTTTTTTAAATAAACGAAGTTATCGATAAAAATCAACAGAAACAAGTATTCCGCCAAGGAATGTAGTTGCTTTAGAGTATGATATTGTTGCCAAGCAACCACGGACTGCTGAATGAAGAGAAGAACGTTCGGTTGCCCATGAATTTTTAAACTTTTATATATAACAGTGAGCATATGATAACACAGCACTGTTTAATGCAAAAACATTCACTTTATAGGTACTTTTTGGTCACCAAATTACCGCCCCAAGTCTTATTTGGCACCAATCTAGTGGCTGAATCTCAAAGGGCTCCCTGCTGCCTACATAGTGCACTATGTAGGAATTTAAATATAGATCCTGAACCACAACAGTAGCCATGTTTACATGCAGCCTAATAATTTGTTAATAGTCCGACTAATAACTCAATTGGAATAGAATACGTCCATGTAAACACTTCAATCGGAATAGACTAGCCCGATTGAGGCCATTCAGAATACAGTTTCTATCCAATTGAACGAGGTGGGTAATCCTGTAAATAATCCATTAAATAGAAGAATAATAACCATGTAAACGTCTGTACCCGATTACATTTCCAGTTGGAACGTATAAGTATGTTCTGATCATTTGCGTCTCGTCATAGTGAAAGTTTATAACGTTCAACATGGCGGGAGCAGAAACTGGTCTGCAGAGGAGACGGAGTTTAAACTTTGAACTTTAAAAGACGGTGATGGGACAGGCGTCCAGTTTATGTGTCTCAGAACATGACGTCTTCCTCTCGTCCTTCTTTAATAAGTACACGTGAAGCACGTTTTTCTGAGTCTGACATATTTTTAAAGCAATTACAAACACAAGCACGCCAACTGAAGACTCATCTCACTCGGACTCACTCATGTGATGTTCGCTGTCATGGTAATGTTTACTCTAAGTGGTACTCCACGCATGCACGTCATTTTGGATTGGATTACTTGTAGTAAGCATGTCAACGAAGATTTTCATCAGATTGTTGCATAGAGTGAGCATATAAACACCTCAGTCTTAATCTGTAATTGGAATGTATTCAATTGGATTGGCAAAAAAATCTTTGCATGTAAACACAGCCGGTGCGTAATATCACCAAAAATTAGTCATTTGGGACTCGGCCACATCCATACTTGATAAATGATACACTATTTCGCTGTAGAGGCTAGAATTTCTAAACTTTCATAGCTAGCACACTATTTAAAGGATACAGAGCCGTTTGGGATTCAGCCTGGGTTTGACGCTACTTCTGACTGAAACAAGTGTGTAATCCATTCAAGTGACATTTTTTAGACATTTACTCAGCCATTTTACCGCAAATCATACTGTACTGTAATTCAAGCCTGTGATATTTATAATGGAGTTGTGGCTGTCTTTTAGAATGTTAGCTAGCTGACCAGACTAGTTCTAGTTAAGAACATAAGTTGCCAGCCCCTCAGTTTAAACAGTCCTTACTTCTCTCCATGCGAGCAGCATGAGAGTCAAAGATTATTCCATTAACAGCACAAGGGTTTTTTTTTCATGTTGTGGCACAGTAATACAGAAAGTTAAGTTGCTGTGAGGCGCTCATATGTATGCATATATCGGGATTTTACAACAGCTTCAAACACGGCTCAGGCAAACAGATTCAAAACAGAACCAAAGTTCAAGTTTCCCATATGTTACTCAGTAAATAGCAAATGTACATCACAATTTGCAGAAAAATGCCCTGTTTTAGTTTCTTTTAGATGATGTTTTCACTTATTTTCACTTAAAATATCAACAACAACAACAAAAAAAAATTTGAGTTTTGATTCAGACTTTTGCATAAAACTGTATATCCACTCTCAGGTAGGTTAATTAACATTCCAGTTGTTTGAAACATATTGCTCGAGTAGTAGAGACTGGAGAGGCTATTTTCTATTGTCTGATTCATACAGCTTGGCAATCTTTTGTTTCATTTCCTTGTGTATCCTTTCATTTTCCCCACGATGATCACTGACTAAGAACGTATGACCTGTGTATAACATTTAAATCCCACTGAAAGTTATGGACGGCCACTTAAGAGGTACTAAAGACTCTGATGTGCTTAAAAAAGATGTAGATGTGCCGTCATTGTTAACAGGTGTGAAATCACTAGGTCTTCATTCACTTAACAGAAAAAGCAGAAACCTTCCAGACATGACACGAAAACATGAAACAATGAGCTGAATCTTGTATATGAATACCTACTTTGTTGAGGCTTGCAGAGAAATCCCTGTATCTGTCAGTTTCTTCCACTCCACAGCGTCCTACATATTCATTTTTTCGATCTTTACTTGTAACAAACACACCCGAGGACTGAAATGGCATAAACGGTCTGATCCTCTTAGCAACTTCCCCTAGGAAGTGAAAGAACTTTAGGGAAAGCACCAATGAAGAAAGATTTACCTAAAAGCAAAACTCTGCAAAATATATACGACACAAGGAAGAATTCTCATTGTCCCCTAATAAAAATATACAGGTCAGCCAGAGACCACCCTTCATGTACTTCATGTGTCAAGTTCATTTTCTAGGAGATGTTTCTGATGAGATCAGATATAAGATAATGCACTCGTATAAAGAAAGGGAAACTCAGAGGAAAATACAGGGAAAAACAGGAGTTTCCAAAACTGGATTAAAAAATGATTAAAAGCTCCAGAGAAAAAATACTCCTAACAGCCACCTTCAAGACCTGGTAGACACCAAAACTGTCCCCATCAGATAAACAGCACTTAAAGCTTTCATCTTTGAGAGAAAAGAGAAAATCAAGCTGCTTCAGAACTGAAAAAATCCACAGGAGTAGTATGTATCCTACACTGTCTTTCAAATGTATGATTTATGACCCTGATTTATGACCGGATTTATGACCTGATCTATGACCCCTGTGTGACAGGCATGTCAGTTTTGATTGCCAGGTCATTTTTATGACCCCTCTGTGACAGGTTGAATTATGACCCCTCCGTGACAGGCCAGTTTATGACCCCCCTCTCTGTGACAGACCAGTTTGAGGGACAGGTCTGCCTGAGGTGGGTGTTTTTTTGACACTGTCGTTGTAATCTTACAACATATCATAAACAACAAACTGAAGGAAACGTGTCTTGGTTGTGAAGTTGACCACCCCAGTCAACTTCGACATTCGTGTCTGTTTGAGCCAGATATCTTCTTCTTTGAAAAGCACTATGACGATATAACACAGACATTGTTCACGCCTGGATTGAAACATGCTATCGCGGGGCTTCTAAAGTGTTTTGGAATACAGCTACCTCTTCCAAAAATTCAAGGATGTGCTGAAACAGTTGTCTGTGAATTGCGGAGCGAGCCATACATTGTGGAAAAGTTGCATGAAATAAGAGAAAATCTGGTTGATCACATATCTGGGCAGTTTGTCACTGATGCTGTTGACTGTTGGAAAGCTGGTTCAAACACCTGCAGTGCTGTTTAAGACAAATAGGGAATGTTTGTGGATTCCAGGGTCTGGCGGACCATGTGTTGAAACACCGTGTGAACTACGAATTGACCAATTTGTTGTATAAAGGTATTGGGGATTGTGTGGTCGATTTTAGACTCTTTAATAGTGTGTATGAAGTTGAAGCTAAACGTTTACAAAATTTCAAGAATCAAATGGATGTTGTCAAATCAGTGACAGATGAATGGGGGCACTTGACGCAGTTATGTATAGATTCTAATGAATCAACCTATGTGACAATCAGTAGGGTTCTGTCTATTACGCCTGATGTCAAAAAACAAAATTACGCATTTTGCTACAGGTAGTGAACTAAAGGCTAGTGTCGCAGAGCGTTTCAATAGAACTCTAAAAAGTCATATGTGGCGATATCTAATGGCTGTAAATTCCAAAAGGTACATTGATATTTTACAAGACATAGTGTGTGGGTACAACAACAGTCACCACAGAAGTATAAAAATGAAACCAGCTGATGTAACCAAAGAAAATGAATCTTTTGTGTTTAAAACGTTGTATGGTGTGAAAAAAAAAAAGAAAACTAGACAAGGAAACTATATTTAAGTATAAGATTGCCGATGTTGTGCGAATTTCTAAAGTCAGGGGTCCCTTTACAAAGGGGTATGAGGAGAACTATACACATGAATTTTTCACTGTATCAGACCGCATCCTTCGACAACCGCCCTTTTAGAGATTGAAAGATTATGATGGTGATATTATACAAGGCTGTTTCTATGAACAAGAGTTGCAAAAAATAAATGTGCCTGGAGATAAAACATTCAAAGTTAAAAAGATTTTAGTGAAATGGTTAGGTTGGCCATCCAAATTCAACAGCTGGGTTTCTGAAAATGATGTAGTGGACATGCAAAAACCTTAAAAGATGTATCACATTGCGAATGTGTTCATTACAACAAATGACAAACACGGGTGACAATGGTTTTGCATTACTTTGCCATGCAATTTATCGATGTCAGTATACCCTGACAATCAAATTTCTAATTACAGAACAAAACTGGCAAAACCAATTGATTTAAAAGGTGAAAGTGGGTGTTTTAGAGTTTCAGTACCCACGGACGTGGAAAACATTTGATGAAGATGACACGACATTTATAGTGATTGATAAAAACGCTTCAAAAATAACAAAAATAAAATTACCTGTCGGATATTATAAAGACATACCTGTGTTGATAGATGAGATTAATTTTAAACTATCATCACATTCAGTATTTATTGGTTACTATCAAATAAGACACACAATTTATATTAAGACAAGACCTGGCATAGGTTTAGTATTTGATGCAAAACTAGCTATTATCTTAGGTCTAAAACCAGCGGTGATCAAGAAGGTTTTCAGAAACAGTACGCACCGCACTCAGCCGACATCTATGGGGGTTTCTACACACTGTATGTTTACACAGACATCATCGAATACCAAACAGTTTGAGACTCCTTTGTGCCTCTGTTAAGATGTGTACATATATCAGGGCACATCCACAACGTTGTCACTGTTAGATACAACAAGCCACACTGCATGTCAACAACTAAGACACACATTAACGACATTACTATAGAGGTGAAAACTGATCAAAACCAACACGTCAATTTTTCATACAGGAAAGTGGTTGTAAATCTACATTTTAGACCTGTAAAACAACCAACCGGGTTTCAAAATGGAGTCTTTCAACACGTATACAATGGACCCTGAACGCTATGTCTCTTACTACCAAAATCATGTCTGAAGAATGTATTAAATCGGAATTGGATCTATTTACAGTACCTTTAACACAAACGGCTATCGTTTTTCATAGCTGGACATGGCGAAGATTATACAGATTTGAATAACACATTCACCTTAAAATCATGAAACCCGATGGAAGCGACATTGATGACGGTGCGTCTGTTGGTTTGATAAACTACCCCAGAGCGACAATATTTTCACAGGTCGATGTATCCCTAGGCGACAGACTGATATCACAGAGTTCGAGCACGTACCCATACCGCAGTATCATAGAGTGTCTAGCTAACTATGGTCGTGATACCCTGGAAACTGTTTTCTCTGCTGGACTCTTTTATCTGGACACCGCAGGGCATATGGATGAAACAAACCCTGCTAGGAACAACGGCGGTTTGACAAAAAGGGCCACATTTACAAATGCTTGTAATGTGGTAGAACTGCTGACCCCGATTCATAGTGACATATTTTTTCAAGAGAAACTGATGTTTAATGGTGTGGATATAAAAATACGTATGGCGCGTAGTAAAGATGAATTCTGTCTAATGCGACATGATGCAATAGCTTACAGTAACAAAGTAAACATTCTCTCGGGATCTTTATTTGTTAAAAAAGTGTTGGTATCACCAGCTGTAAGGCTGGGTCATGCTCAGGCATTGCTGTCATCGACGGCTAAATATCCGATCGATAGAGTATGTTTAAAAATTTTCAATACCCGCTAGAACACGTGTTTCTAACCAAGAAAATTTGTTCTTGGGGACTCTACCAAAGTCTATGATAATAGCGGTGGTTGACAATGACACGTTCACAGGTGCATACAATAAAAATCCTTTGCATTCAAACATTATGATTTGGAGTTTCTTGCGGTCTATGTAGATGGTCAGCAATATCCAGCTAAACCGCATCAACCCGACTTCCAGTCTGGCTCTGCCGTACGTGAATTTTATCAGTTAGCACTCGCATCTGGAAGGCATCTGAAAAACCAGGCTGATCTACCCAGAGAACACTGGCTTGCAATCTATATAAGTGAAGATCGTGTCGGGTGTTTTTTCGACAGTTTTGGAAATGGACCAGACCATGACAAGTTCCCTAAAATGAGTAGTGGCTTTCTTAAAACATCATGCATAACACAACAGTATTCAACAGACAAGTACAATATTTTATATCAACCACTTGTGGTCAACACTGTGTGTTTTTTCTACACCACATGGCTAATGGAGAAGTGATGACTAAATATAGTTTCGATTTAATAAAAAATGACAATATGGTTTCAACAAAAAAATTGTATCCGTGTGTTTGTAAGAACAGAATGTTTACATGTGTCCAGCATGTTCAAACAGGGTGTAGGTTTATTGTATAATTGTGTCCCTATATGATGTAATGGTTGATAAATAAAAACAAACAAAACAAAGAATTTCAACTCAGAGTCATTTATTTACAAATATGTAACATCAGTGAAACATCGATTTAACACAGTATTTTCTGAAACATATTTACATAGTCATGATAAAAACTATATATATATATATATATATATATATATGTATATATATTTATATATATATATATATATATATATATATATATATATATGTTAAACAAATAAATGAAATACATAATCAAACAAACAAACAAGAAAGAAACATTTTAGAAGCTTAACCATTTACTTCTGTCTGGGGGAGATAAATGCTGAGGTTTCAACACTCTTAACAGGTGTTTGTGAAACGTCTTTTGTCGGTGTAGCATAACCATCAAACTTTTTATTTTTAAACAAAATAATTTTTTGTCTTACATGCTTGTTTGGTATGGTAGAAAGAGCTATATTTAAAACAGCAAAAGCCTCTAGAAACTCATCCCAACCCAGCGCTAACCCTGTGCGGTGCTGTGATACTTTTCACCAAGTCCAGAATATGTGACCCAGGGATTAGATTATTTCTCCTGATTCATTCCAAGAAGACACAGCTTTTGATTTAGACATTTTATCTGAAACATACTGAACATTCCTCCTGCTTCGTGAGGGTAAATTTCTAAGAACATCAATAATTACATCATTTTTGTCATTGGTCTGATCAACAACATTTACATCCTTATTAACATTATCTGCGGGTGGTAATGACAATGTTAAAGTGTTTTGTTC